CAAAAAAAAAATTAAATAAAAAAAATACGGGCGGTGGTGGCGCATGCCTTTAATCCCAGCACTTGGGAGGCAGAGGCAGGCGGATCTCTGGGAGTTCGAGACCAGCCTGGTCTACAAGAGCTAGTTCCAGGACAGGCTCCAAAACCACAGAGAAACCCTGTCTCGAAAAAAACAAACAAATAAAATTAAATAAAAAAAAATAAAGTTACAAAAAAAAACCCAAAAAAACTTATTTGTTCATTATTGAGAAAATGGTAAATAACTCGTGATAGAGCTAAAATATTGCCTGATTCTATATATACTTGCCTAAAAAAAAAAAGAAATCACTAAGAAAATCTATGCTATTGTGCTAGAAAAGTCTCATGTAGCCCAGGCTAGACTTGAAGTTCTAATCTACCACCTCCTATTTCAGTTTTTTAAAAGACAGCACTTTACTTGTATATGCACGTTTGAATTTGTTTGTAAAACGTGACAGTTTTGTAGTAGCCTCTAAAATCACTCAGGTCATCACCCTAAAATATGTAGCCCAGGGGCACTGCAGAGGTGGCTCAGTGATTAAGAGTAATGCATGCTCTTTCAAAGGACCCAAGTTTGGTTTCCAGCACCCACATCACAACCACAATTAATACTATTTCCAGGGTATCCAATGCTTTTTTCTGGCCTCCAAGGGCATCCACATGTACACGGTATACCTGGTGTACAAACACACATAAATAAAAATCTTTTTAAATGAGATTATTATTAAATAATAATATTAATAATATTGATACTGCACACTTTTAATCCCAGTATTCGGGAGGCAGAGGCAGATGGATCTCTGAGTTCAAGGCCAGCCTGATCTACAGAGCAAGTTCCAGGATAGCCAAGGCTACACAGCAAAATCTTGTCTTGGAGTGGGGGGTACTTAACCTGCTGGTACCTTAGCACAATTATTTAAAGTATTAGTACCAAATTTACCAGTATTCTATATTCTTCCTCATTAGGCTCTTAAAGGAGAAAGAAAAATAAATGTTACTAAGAATTTCCTGAGTTTAGAAATTTAGCTCATAACGCATACTTAACATGCACAAGCCTGGATTCCATCCCTGGCACTGTGAGAAGTAGGTATGGTGGCAGACAACTGTAGTCCTAGCCCTGGGGAGATGCAGGTAAGGATCAGAAGTTAAGTCCGACCTCTGCTCGAGAGTTCAAGTCCATTCTGGAATACAGATTCTCTATCTGGCGCTCTCTCTCTCTCTCTCTCTCTCTCTCTCTCTCTCTCTCTCTCTCTCTGTGTGTGTGTGTCTGTGTGTCTGTGTGTGTGTGTGTGTCAAAAAAAAAAAAAAAAGGCAAAGGAACCAGGAGTAGTGGTGCACACCTTTAATCCCAGCACTTGGGAGACAGAGGCAGGCGGATCTCTGTGAGGCCAGCCTGGTCTACAAAGAGAGTTCCAGGATAACCAGAGCTGTTACACAGTTACACAGAGAAACCACGTCTAGAAAAACAAAACAAAACAAAAAAAAGGAATAGGAACATTTGTTCAAAGAAGATACATAAATGGCTTAGAATCATTAAAAGAGCTTCATCATCAAGTATCATGGAAATTAAAATGAAAACCACAATAAGATATCATTTAAGCTCACTAGCAATTAACAAGAAAGACAGATAATAGCTAGTCTGTCACTGAGGGAAGTCAGTGCTGTGACTGAGAGTGGGAACCTGGAGGCAAGACCTGAAACAGATCACAGAGGAGTGTTCTGCTTACTGGTTTGCTCCTGGCCTACTCAGCCTGCTTTCTCATACATCACAGGACTGCACAGGGATGGCACCATGCACCGTGACATCAGTCATTAATCAAGACAATACTCTCACACACTTGCCTACAGTCCAATCTTATGGAGGCATTTGCTCAATTAAGATTCCCTCTTGTTGGGGTAGTTGGAGGGAAATGGGGGGATGGGAGGAGGCGGAAATTTTTAATAATAAAAAAAAGATTCCCTCTTCTAACCCTGGTGGTATGGTGGCGCACATCTTTAATCCCAGCACTTGGGAAGCAGAATTAGGTGAACCTCCGAGTTCAAGGCCAGCCTGGCCTATAGAGTCAGTTCCAAGACAGTCAGGGCCACACAAAGAAACCCTGCCTCAAATATATATATTCCCTCTTCCCAGATATGTCTTAAGTTTATATCATATTGACAAAACTTAACCAGCATATACAAGTACACTCTCAGATCCATTTGCAAAGAAAAAGATCTCAAGTATTAAGAAGTATGAGGCACTGGACAAAAGGACAGAAAAACACAAAACTTAGTATTTAAAACCTCTAAGGAAATAAGAACCTTAGAAGAGGCCGGGAATTCACATGGTAACCCTGGATTTTAATGCCCACAAAAGTTTGAGAACGATTTTTCCACAGGTTCAGACTGGAGACAAGAGATCTTAAATGGTTGATATGAAGGGTTTCCCTGGACCTTAGGAGGCCCTAATAACTCTATATACAGCATAGGTCTTTCATCTAAAGATTTCAAACAGTGTTATAGGCATTAATTAATTTTTTGCAGCATACAGGACTAAAAAAATCCATGCTCTTGGCCCTGTTTTATTGACAGAAAATGGTAGCTTATGTCTAAGATCATTTGGCCTGGTTTGAATGGCTAAATATGATGTGGGGAGTGGAGGAAGTCCTAAGTGTGTGAAGTACTAAGTGAATGTGTGTTGTGACATAGACAGCCTCAGACTCAGAGGGAAATGTCAAAGCCTTCTACCTGCCGTCCTGGGGCGAGGCTCAGAGAAATGGCAAAGCCTTCCTAGTGGGTTCACTGTAGCTTTTTCCTCCCAGATATTTTATGGCCTGAAGACTGTTCCCCTGCAGAGATTGCTGCTATGGAGATTAGCTAAACCTTAATCAGCTGTATTCCACGAACGTTAGCCTCCTTATCTTCTTGTTTATCTGTATGTAGTAACCCTGCCTCCACATTCAACTCTGTATAATAAACACACTGAGCTTCTGAGATGCTGCAGTTTCTCCATCAGGAAGCCCAGTCTACACAAACCCATCTTTTCTTGTGTTCTGTGTCTGTGTCTGCCTTTTCTTGATTCCCTAGCTGCCCCTAATCAGACTGGTTTATTCCTAGAGCTATGCAGTATGAAGCCAACACTGACCTCAAATATCTCTTCTAAAAACGTGATGTGTGTACACATGTGTGTACAAACTTAGAACATGCATGTGTAGGTTTTTTGTTTTTGTTTTTTGAGAAAGAGTTTTCACTGGCCTTGAACCAGTCTTCAGAGTCCAGAGCACTCACTGTTACACCACGGAATCTACACTGGTACCAGTCTTCAATTGAGAGTTTGGAACCAATTTAGGCTGTAACAATGTGACCTTGTCTCCCTCCCCTCCCTTGACAGGGTTTCTCTGGGTAATAGTCCTGGCTGTCTTAAAACTTGCTTTGTAGACCAAGCAAGCTGGTCTCAAACTCAGAGGTCCCCTTGCCTCTGCCTCCTCAATGCTAAGATTAAAGACATGTGCCACCACACCCAGCTTATATGTATGTGTGTATGTAATGTACGTATGTATGTATGTATGTATGTATGTATGTATATGATCTGAGGCTATAGCTCCGTGGTAGAGTGTTTGTTTAACATTCAAGTCTCAGTTCTGTAAATCTGCCTATATCCCTGTGATAGTGCCTAGGTTTTTTCACTAAAAACAAAGAAGCAAACAAACACCTTTCAAAGGCTAGCAAGGAGGCTGGAGAAGTGACTCAGCAGTTAAGTTCACATGCTTTCAGAGCTTACAGAGGACCCTGTCTATATCCAGCACCCATGTTGGTGGCTCACAACTGCCTGTAACTTCAGCTCCAAGGATTCTAACACTGTTTTCTGGCCTCTGCAGACACCACACACGTGCCACATCAACATACAAACATAAAGAAAAATTTTTAAAAGATGAAAGGAAAATAATAAATTTACATTTATTTGGTGATAGGTGGGCACATGTGTTCCACAACAGGTATTTAAAAGTCAGAGGACAAATTTGGGGCATTGTTGTTTTCTTTCCACCATAAGGGATCAACTGCTCAGTGGCAAGCACAATTACCTGCTTAGCTTACAGCAGGGGTTTGATTTGGTTTTGGTTTTTAATGTGTATGGGTGCTTTGCCTGCAAGTATGTCTGTGCAGCACTGTGCCTGGTAACCTCCAAGGACAGAAGAAAGTGTCATTCCCTGGATGTGAAAGAGCAATCAATGGGCTGCCCTTTTTTTTTGTCTTGTTACATTTATTTAGTGTGTTTGTGTGTGTGTATGCCACAACATGAATGTGGGTATCAAAGGATTTGATTCTCTCATTTTACCATGTAGGTCCAGTGAATTAAATTTGGGTATGGAAAGCATCTTGCTGGCCATTTTGAGGGCTTTGTTTTTTTTGTTTGTTTGGTTTGGTTTGGTTTTTGTATTGTTTGTTGATTTTTTAATTTATTTATTTTGGGATTTTTTGTTTTTGTTTTGAGACAGGATCTCTCTGTATGGTCATGGCTGTCCTGGAGCTTGCTATGTAAACCACACTGGCCTTGGGCTCACAGAAATCCTCCTGCCTCTGCCTTCCAAGTGCTTGGATCAAAGGCTTATACCACTACACCAGCAAAGATAAACCTCTTTATCACTTGCTAGAGAACAGCATCTGCACCTTTCGGGGAGGCCACACTCATCCCTGTGACAGTTTCCCATATCTTAATTGGAAATTATCTACCCAGCCAACCATCTTTGTTTCCATGAAAGAAAGCTGAGACTCAGGCAAGGCCCTTCATCAAGGACCCGAGAAGTCTATGACATCATCGGGATGAGAACCAGGTCTCTGAACTCCTGGGGAGCCCATTTTGGTCTGCTCCCCTGGCCCTGTCTAGGAGACCAGAGGCTGACCTGGCTTCCTAGACAGCTCCTTCACCAATATTCCAGCTCTAGCACCCAGACTCAGAGGTTGAAATGAGATCTAGAGAGGAGGTTTGGTGGCACCAGCCCTTTGTGAAGGGAGAGCTGTGTTTGAAACAGGGTCTTATACAGCCCAAGCTAGCCTTAAATGTACTATGTAGTTGAACTCAGAATTCTCCTGCCACTGCCTTCTGAGTTCCAGAATTACAGATGTGTACTTATGACCCAGTTTAAAATATCTTATTTTTAACCTAAAGGTGTTTTCGTCATTGCTACTCTCTTTGAAAAGGGCAGGAGTGTCTGGGGATCATATGTTCTCTAAGCAAGAGCTCTACCGTTGGGCTAATCCCCATCTCCTTCATTGTTATTAGTTGCTCTTCTTTGGTTTTGGTATTTTGAGGCAGTCTTGTTATGTAGCCAAGGCTAGCCATGAACTTACCCTATGGCCTAGGCTTACTCCAAACTTGTAATCCTCCCTCTTCAGCATCTCCAGTGCTGGGATTGTAGGCATACATTACCACACCTGACTCATTATTCTTTTTTTTTTAATTATCCACAAAATGTTTTTCAAGATTTACTTTATTTTATGTGTATGAGTATTTTGCCTGTATGTATTTAAGGGCATTTTGTGCATGCCTGGTGCTCAAGAAGGCTAGAAGAGGGCGCTGGATTCCCAGGATCTGGAGTTAGAATGGTTATAAGTTGCCATATGGAAGCTGGTCATAATACTCAGGTCCTCTGGAAGAACTGCAAGAGCCCTTAATTGCTGAGCCATCTCTCCAGTCCCTAAAAAACATATATATTCTTTAAATATTCTTAAGTTTATATACAAATGGTGGCTTTATTATGGTGTATTCATACTCTTAACCATTCTTTAATTCCACTTCTAGATATTTATACTACAGAAGTTCTTGTACTTGCAGAAAATATTTGGTATACTCTTTCTTATTTTTTCAACTTAATAAAATTATTTGTCATATGCAGATATGGTGGTTTGAATGAGAATAGCCCATGGGCTCATCTATTTGAATACTTGGTCCCCAGTTGGTGGAGCTGTTTGGGAAGGATTAGGAGATGTGGCTTTATCGGAGCTAGTGTGTCACTGGAGGTGCCCTTGAGGTTTCAAAACACTGGACCCCTTCTGAATCTCTCTCTCTCTCTCTACCTTGTGCTTGTAAAGAAGATGTGAGCTCTCAGCAACTGTTCCAGTGCCATGCCTGCCTGCAGACATGCTCCCCACTGTGACAGTCAGCAACTTTAACTCTCTGAAACCGGAAGCCCCAAATTAACTTTTTCTTTCCTAAATTGCTCTGGTCATGGTATTTTATCACAGAAATAGAAAAGCAGCTAAGACAATAAGTAATAAAAATAATGATATAGATAAATATATGGAGAAACTACCCAGTGGATATTAAGTAACTAAGTAACAGGTATGTTGTAAAATACCGTAGGATGATTCAATAAACATATAATAAACATATTGTCCATCTGGGCAGTGGTGACACATGCCTTTAATCCCAGCACTCAGGAGGCAGAGGCAGGCAGTTCTCAGTTCCAGGACAACCAAGGCTACACAGAGAAACCCTGTCTTGAAAAATCAAAAACAAAACATTAACATATTAGTCATTAAAATAAATCTTTTTGTTTTGCTGGTCTTCACTTCTGCCTGTGTTTTCAAGACAAGGTTTCTCTGTGTACCAGCTCTGGATACCTAGAATTCACTCTGGCCACCCTGGTCTACAGAGTAGGCTAGCAGGGCCACAACAGAGAAACCCTGTCTCAAAAAAAACAAAAATAAATAAATAAGCAAATAAATAGGACTTGTGTTCAGATGCATTACTGTGTAAAGACTGAGTGACTGGAGCCTGTTTTGGTCCTTCTGGCTTTGTCTGTCTTCCCTAAACAGCAACAAACCAGCGGCTTCTGCTGCTTCCCACCCCAGGCCCCAGCTCCAAAGGTAACCTAGTCTTTGCCTGCTGCCTTTCAATCCTGCGTCACTCTTTCAGATTCCCTGCCAACAACATCTGGCCTTGAAGCCAAAGGCCACCAGTGCTCTGCCTTTCTGAATAAACACCTGTGAACTGGGAGAGACAGTGATCCCAAAGCAGGTGTGCACAGGGACACAGCAGGACAAGGAACAAGGATATGGAAAGCCTGGGAGATGTTGTTCTGACTTAGCCAGTGAATTCTCCTTTTGCTGTTTAACATCTCCTACACACACACCCAAACATGCAGAACCAGACATGGTGGCATACATTTGTAAACTCAACACTCAGGATACAGCAGAAGGGTCACAAGTTAGAAGGCAGCCTACGTTATATAGTAATACCCTCTCAATTAAAAAAGAAAGCAAAAGTCCATTTCAATTGATGGAGGTTCTTGGACAGGTAGAGGTTGGGAGAGGTGTCCTGTCATCCATAAGGAAAGTTCAGCTTCTCAGCTCATGCACATGGCGTGGCTTCTGCATAGGATATTTTCCCTCCATCTTATCCTGACTCACTTCTAGTCATTCTCCAGATTTCAAATTATGGGCTACTTTCGACTAGAAACCTTTTCTTCCTCCTACCCCACCTCTGTGCAAGGGTTCTCTGCTCTCATGGCTTGTGCTTCTTTCCTTATTCAGCACTCCCCCACTAAAAGTTGCCCATGCTGCCGGGCGGTGGTGGCACATGCCTTTAGTCCCAGCACTTGGGAGGCAGAGGCAATGAATGTCTGTGAGTTCAAGGTCAGCCTGGTCCACAGAGTGAGTTCTAGGACAGGCTTCAAAGCTACACAAAGAAACCCTGTGTCGAAAAACAAAACAACAACAACAAAAATTGTCCATGTTTTTGTCTCTCCCACTCCAGTTTAAGCTTCCTGAGATCAGGGGATATGATTGTTTTGTCTATTCTATATTGATATAAATCAGAAGTGCTACATGGGTAAATAAAATGAAAGGCTAGAGAGCAAGGACTAGAGAACCCTCCACTTGTCTGGAGGAAACACGGTTCTTGCCAGCCCTCAGGGAGGAGGCTCCTGGGCAAAGAAAGGCATAGCCTTTATTCTTCCCTCCTCCCTCCCAGTATTCTGTCCCCGGCGGCGTCTCAGTCGTTCCTCCTCTCTGGCATCTGTTTGGAATAAGCTTGAACTCCCTCTACTGGCAAAAATTCAGTACTGCCCCTGGGAATTCTTTCCTCTGGGGAAGTTCCTTCTACTTCCTCCACAATTCCAGAGTTCCCCAGGGACCGGAATATGAGTAGAAAGCAAGGATATCCATCCAGCAAACAGGAGGTTCCAAGGTCTGATCCCACACCTTCCTCCCTCAACACCAGGAGCACTTTGTTCCACACCCTCACCTGTGTCCGTTTCCTGGGGTCTCCACACTCTGACTCCAGCTAATTCACAGAAATGTTGATTTCTGGAGTCTTTGGCTGATACATCAATTCTGACTGTGGGGGAAAATTCAAAGATAGTTTGGGAACAGACAAAAAGAAAAAGAAAAAAGCCTAAATAAGGGGCTCAGGAACTAAATAGGAATTCACATTCAAAACGAAACAAAGACCAGGGTTGAGAAGATAGCTCAGGGAGCTGTATGCCTTTCTCTCTTTACCTCCATGGGCTCATAAACCAGAACTGCCTATGGGGAAGATTTCCCTAAGCCCTTCACTCTGCCTGTATTATTACAGAGACAACAGAACGACTGTGTTGAGGTCTTCAGGCTGAATGAGATGCCAGACTTTAGAGACAGCTCTGACAACAGTCTCTCGACTCCTCCCCGTTCTTTTAGAAGGACTTGGCCTGGAGCTTACATCTTCATTGCCGTCTCTACTGAACAAGTGCTCTGGCTCCAGTCCACTCTCAGGGATGTTCTTCTCCTCCTCTGGCATGAGCTCATCCAGCCAGAGGAGTTCCAGTGGTGAAAAGACCCACTCCAGAGCTTTTCTGACTCCCACGAGGCCCAGTAACTGCAGAAACAGAAACAAGCCCCAGGGCTCTCAGCAACAGCCAGCCACTGGGACTAGCAGTCACGCTTCCTATTATTTCACTGAGTGAGATAATAACACAGTTCTATGAAGTAAACCCTTTTTGTTTGTTTGATATTGTTTTGTTTTTGAGATAAAGTTTTATGTAGCTCAGGCTGGCCTTGAGCTCCTGATCCTCAACCTCTCAAGGGTTCATGTTGAGATCACGAGTGTGCATCACCCACCATCATACTTAGCTTTTTCTTCTCTTTTCTTTTCTTTTTTTTTTTTTGACACATGTTCTCACTATGCAGCTCTGGTAGCTCTGACTGGCTTGGAACTTGCTATGTAGACTAGGCTGGCCTTGAACTTGTGGTGATCCCCCTGTCTCTGCCTCCTGAGAATTACAGGTGTTCACCATACATCCACTTTCATTTTTTTTTTAAGACAGAATCTCACTTTGATCAGCCTCAGCCACCCAAGTACCAGGTTACAAGCAAAAACCTCTATACCCAGTTTGCAGTTTACTCCCACTGTACATAAAAGGCAACTGAAGCCCCAAGAGATAGTGACGCCCCTGAGGTCACACACCTGGTACATGGTAACCAGACTGATCCTATTGTAAGGCCTGTGGCTCTTAACTTCCTCTTCTGTGCCTCACTGAGTAACAAGTGTCAGCATTGCCCTTGCAGGAGCTCAGTTATTTGCGGGGCCGGGGGGTTGTGGACAAGACCAAATTAGTTAGGAAAGTTGGTGAATCAAGAGTTCTAGGACTAGTTAATCTGTAAGTATCCCCCAGCCATTTTCTTGGTCTTAAGATTTCCAACAGAAAGAACCAGGGAAAGTAAGAGGAGTATTTTTTCAGCCACCCTCCAAGCTCAGAGTCTCTCAGAACTCCAGGTTACCATAAGTGGGAAGATAATGGCTGCAGGAGTAGACTTGATAATCCAAAGCAGACCCAGGCAGGCAAGCTGGATGGCCGTGAACAGGTGGACTCTGCTCAGAGGTACATGACGCAAGAGCAGCATGTCTGGCTGATGTTTTGTTGGCATCAACAATAGCTGCACTCTCTTCATGAACTGGGAGAATGAGAGGAAAAGAAGGCAGGATGATGGGGTTAATTTGGAGGGTGCCATTGTTAGCTACAAGCCCTGCAAGGGGAAAGGAAGAAGGCTCCCGTGACCTCTCCATCTGGAGCATGGCAGCAGAATGCCTATGTACAGGAGAAGGAGGATAATGGACATGAGTGAGATTGGCAAGTGTGGGGAGGAGTGAGGTTGCTAGGTGATTGTAATGAGCTCACCTGGATGCTGCTGAGTGCTGCTACCCCCATGTAGAGGAAGATGCCGTAGAGCACAGGCATTGGGATGAACTAGTAGAAGTAGAGAGATAGCAAAGGAGCTTTTACCTTCCTCCAGCCTCCCAGGTGCCCCACCTTAGGCCTTCAGACTGGAGCCTGCCAGGCCTTTCTTTTTCTTTCACATCCCACATACCTGATTCATTGAATCTTTTCATGCCAATCACATGAGGTAGATTGTTATTAGTGTGTGCACTTACTGATGAGAAACTAGAGAGACGAAGTGACTTGCCCATACCTCTCCTCTCCTGCCTCTCCAATCTTTTTATTCCATCCAGTATTGCTGCCCTACGACTCTACATCCTCCTGCCCTGGCCTCCTGAATGCTGGGGTCATACTGTACCACCATATCCAGGTTCCTCTTGTCTTACCATCACACGCCCCCTGCTCTCCATGCTCCCATACACTGTCCACTTTCCATTCATATGCTGCTGTTTGCTCCTTACCCTTTCAAGACCTTTTCCTTTGCTGTTCTTTCCTCCTAAAATGCTACTCATGCCCGGGCATGGTGACACACCTGTGATCCAGCACTTGGGAGGCAGAGGCAGGAAAATGTATAGAAATTCAAAGCCACCTTGGTCTATGTAGCAAGTTCCAGGATAGGCAGGGCTACACAGTGAAACCCTGTCTCAACCAACCAACCAGTCAAACAAATTCTCCTCTCTTGGACTTTACATCCACTCATGCTTCATCTCATTTCACTCTGGAAAGAAAGGTCTTCTCTGACTACTCAACCTGACGTAGGCCTGGAACTGTGTAAAATTTAAAAAGATTTAGTTACTGCTATTACTATATGTGTTCAACAGCTTGCATATGGAGGTCAAAGATGGACTTGTGGGGGTGGGTTTCTCATTCCACCATGGTTTCCAGGGACTGCACTCAGGCCAGTCATCAGATCCTTTTGCCCACTGAACCATCTTGCCAGGCCTGCCCTAGTGCTCTTAATCACCTTACCCACTTTTATTTTTTTCTTCACAGGAGTTATCATCTGAGGTCATCCTATTGCTTTAACTTTTAAAGATCTGTCCTCTATCACCAGACTCCGAGGAGGATGGAGACATATGTCATCGCCCCGGTATACCTCACCTCCAATTCCTGGAGCAGTGGCTGGTATACCATTTATGAGAGTCAACCTACTTAGCAAGTGGTTAATCCAGTCCATCTGGCTTTCCTACTTACTGCAGTACTCTTACCCAGCCTCCATGACCTTGGCCCTGCCTAACCTCCAGCTCTTGTCTTTCTGCCAGTGACTCTTGTCTGACATTTCCACACCCTCCTTGACTACTTTGCTACTTGGTTTGTTTACCTTTTCTTCTATAGCCAGCTAGTTATATTATATAGGGTGTGTGTGTGTGTGTGTGTGTGTGTGTGTGTGTGTGAAGTTTCTGGTAAAGTTTGGTTTCATATTCCTTTTTAGTTCTTCTCCTCCCCTCTCTTAGGCACCAAGTACAGTAGGGTACCCAGCACAAGTTTCATAAGCCTTGAGAAAGAGCAAATGGTTTTTTGCTTTGAAGTTTCTCTGGGATATGAATACACACATAGTCTTAGCTTGTTGGGAGACTGGAACAAGGACAGTTCTAGAACTCTGGGGATGATGGCATCCCCCTGTCCTACTCCACAGAACAGAAACCCTACTGGCCAAGAAATTAGGTACATTTTTTAAATCTTTATTTTTTAGATAAGGTCTCATGTAGACCAAGATGGTCTCAAACCTACTATATAAGTGAGACTAGCCTTAAACTTGAACTCCTGACCCTCTACCACCTAAGTGCCTGGTCTATTTTGGTTTCTTTTGTTGTTATTGCTATTACATTCTCTCTCTCTCTCTCTCTCTCTCTCTCTCTCTCTCTCTCTCTCTCTCTCTCTCTCTCTTTGTGTGTGTGTGTGTGTGTGTGTAAGCATGGAGGACAGAGAAGAACATGTTAGAATCAGTTCTTCCATCTTGTAGACCTAGGCCCAATATCAGATTCAGGCCTTCAGGCTTGTTAGCTAATGCCTTTATTCATTGAGCCATCTCAGACACCCACACACTACCACCTCCACTACCACTTTTTTGTTTCTTTTGAGACAGGGTCTCACACTATTGCCCAAGGTGTTCTACAATTTATTGTATATGCAGACTGGCCTCAAAGTTGAAGCAAGCCTCCTGCCTCAACCTCTTGGCTCTGAGATTACAGGTATAATCCACCATGCTCTAGAAGTCTGGGTTTTTTAATCTGAGAAATTGGTGGGCAGTTACAAGTTACTTTACATCTTTAACCTTCAGGTTTCTCATTTGCAGAGTATGTGTGTCTCTCAGGGCTAGTTAGCATGAAGATTATGGAAACCATGTGGGAAGAAAATGCAGTTCCTAAAACACTGAAGTATTCAAGCAGAGTCAGTTCTGTTGTTATTGCTGCACTGGCCCTGATCCCGGCCAAACATGTACCTTGAGCACAGGTGCCAGGAAGATGGAGATGCCTGTAAGGATGAACACCACCAAACCCGTCAGCCTCTGCTCCCTGTGGGGAGAAGGAAGAAGTGTGCTCCTGGAGGATCCAGGCTAGACCCCTTAACCAGGCCTAGTACAGACCGGGCATCCAGAGAGGAGAGGAGGGAGTCCCTCCATAGGTCACCTGGCAAAGGCCCTGCCCGCTGTCAGAACTGAAAGGAAAGACAAAGCACTCCAGCATGGGGCGCTGGGCCTCTCATCTGTCAGGTTTATTGTTCTGTTTTGTTTGATTTTTTAAAAAATGATCTATTGCATTTTACTTATTTATACTGTGTATGTGCATGCATTACATAAGTAGGTGCCTGTTTGGTGTATATGTGATGGTCAGAGGACAACTCGCAGGACTCAGTTCTTTCTTTTACCACCCAGGTCCCAGGAAGTCATGAGGTGTGACGGGAAGTGCCTTTACCCACCGAACCACCTCAGCAGCCCGTTATGTCTTTTGTTTGTTTGTTTTAGTGGTTCTAGGAATAGAGCTAGGGCCTCATATGTACTAGATGAGCACCACCACTGAATTCCATCCCCAGTTCCATAGGTTTTTTTTTTTTTTATTGTGGTGGGAAATTAGCAGTTTCCACTGCCATAAAGAGTTGCATTTCATAATATACGAAGTCAGTCAATTTTATGCATTTCAGGTAGACTCTGTTTCCAATGGCTACATAATTGTTTTTGTCATGGAGTCTTTTGCAGTGTCCGTGGTACGCTTCTACATTGAGTGAGGACTGTTAGGTGGCACCTCACCCTCCACTTTAGCCCTGACTACCTTCACCCTTACATGTATAATGCTGTTCTTTCTGGGGCTGGGATTGTTGTTTGTTTGTTTGGTTGGTTGGTTGGTTGGTTGGTTGGTTGGTTGATTTGGTTTGGTTTGGTTTGGTTTGGTTTTTCAAGACTGCATTTCTCTGTGTAGCTCTGACTGTCCTGGAAGTCACTCTGTAGACCAGGCTGGCCTCAAACAGAGATCTGCTTGCTTTTGCCTCCCAGGGTTTGGATTAAAGTTGTGTGCCACCACCACCTGTATAAAGCTCTTCTTGAGGCCCCTCACCCATCTCAGAGGCACCAACTTTCCCTGCTACAGTTCTTACAGGGCTTAAACTCAGAACTCAAGCTGCCCAAATAACTCACATATCCCATATGTGCCACACCCCTCTCACTCCAGCCTACTGACTCTATTCTTTACCTGATGCCCAGGAAGTGAGGGGCTTCACCAGGGACACAGGCTCTGCTCTCTCTCCGAAGACTATCCATATGGGCCAGAGAGATGACAGTGGCTGAGACGTACCAGGGCAGCCCAAGTGCTGATGTGAGCAGCATCAGAACAGCTACACAGAAGAGGTCCAGGTGGAAGCCAGCTCCCTTCTGCAGGAAAAGGGGGTTGATTGGAAGCTAGAAGGGCCGTATGTACCTGACTCTGGAGTTTCTTTCTCTTGTCTAGGACCTGACCTGGCAGCCTTACCTGCAGTCTGTATTCTGCACGGTTGAGGATAACGGCTGTGATTTGCTGGTCCATGAAGATAAGGATAGACAGCAGCAGAGCAGGCAAGGCAGCTGCCACACTCAGCCACCAGGGGTTAGCTCCAAAAGGAGACACCAGCCAACCACGCCCAGGGAGTGTAGGCTGAGGGGACATTCCATGGACAGGTTGGAAAATGTCTCCGAGAACACCTCACCTGCACACCTCTACTCCCACCTTGGCACTCTACCTCCTCCTGCTCCCAGAGACCTTAAATTCTAGGTGGGAGCTCGCTCTCTCTCTCTCTCTCTCTCTCTCTCTCTCTCTCTCTCTCTCTCTCACACACACACACACACACACACACACACACACTTCCTTCCATGTATCCCAGCGCCTTAAAAGAGAACAGAAAGAAGGGACTAATCTGAATGGAGCCAAGGGCTCTGGACTTTGGTTCTCTCTGGAAGAAGAGTTGGTAAATATAACCTGCACACACTGCTTTGTTCTTATTCACAGCCTTCCTCCTTAGGTTCACACCCCACCCCCCCCAATCCAGAATGGGACAGCTCAGGTTCAGACCTGCCTTGGTCTGGGGCAGAGGTGGGGCAGGGTTAGGTGTGTCTGCGTCTGCTCTGATTATAAGCGTCTGTAGTGGGGAGGGGGCCCAGGTGTAGTGGGGTTGGGGTTCTGAACCCTAAAACTACCCCCATGAGAACCCCCTTGCTGTCCTGTCCTGGTGGGATCTAGGGGGAAAGGTTTCTATTGTCGAGGCAAAGTTTGGTACAGTACACTATCCTGTCCTACAGAAGGAGCTCCGGCTTTACAGAATCAGAGTTGGCAGTGAGGGGTGTAAAGAAGATCAGGGTGTGTGGAAGTGGGTAGGGCCACGTCCATGGCAGGGAGAAGCTGTAACAGCATTTACTGAGTATGTGATCCGTGCCAAGCACTGTTGTAACTACACTATGATATGTAAATCCAAAACAGCCTATAGGAGAACAGCTATCAATTATCCCATTTTTATAGACTAAAATTCTCAGAGGAGGTATGGTGATGCATGCCTGAAATCACAGCATACAGAGGGTTTAAAAAGGAGGATCAAGAGTTCAAGGCCAGTCTCAGCTGTGTAGGGAATTTGAGGTCAATCTGAACTACAGGGGACTCTGTCTCCAAACAAAGATGCCTAGCGCCAGCTAGGAAGAGGCAGAAATGGAATTCAAACTCAAGCTGACTGCTCAGATCCCATCCTCCAACACCTACCCTATAATAATAGCAACTGTATACGGCATTCTTGATTCCTTATGTGTCTGTTGAAATACCTCATTTTATCACTCAACGACTCTGTGAGACCATTATTTTTACTGTGTCTATCATAAATGAAGGAAACATCTCAGAGGAAGAGAAGTATGGAATTTATGCATCTTATTACTCCAAAGTTGCTGGCCCCACCATCCCCTTCCTTCTCCCTCCTCCTTCTGTCCAAGCTCTCACCTTGAATTCTGTGGGCACCAAGAGCTTTGGTGTGGCTAGGCCCAGAAAAGCATCAAGGCCACAGCCTAGCAGGATGGCCAGGACTGAGGAGAAGTCGCTGAACACCTTGCGCACCTGGCCATACAGTGGACGGTTTACTCTGGGCCTGCCATCCCATTTCTTCTTTAACCTTTCCCATTTGCAGACAGGATCCAGGGCCAGAACCAGACCTTTCCCACAGAAAGGGAAAATGGCACTCACCACAGAGGGGAAGAGGCGGCTATTCTTTACATGCTTGAGGGCCATGGCACAAAGGAAGGACGTAAAGAAGAGGAGAAGGGAGAAGAAGGCAATGTCTGGCACCGTGTGACAGCTGGGACCACGAGGGTAGCCTCCTTGCCGGATGCACTCAGGTGGAGACAGCAAGGATGCATTGACCAGGCCTAGGTGCTGCAGAGAGGAGTGGGGAGGTATTGGACAGTGGGCATCAGAGGAAGGGGAACCCACAGAGACATCAGGAACCCAGGAATGGGCATAGGCAAAATTCAAGTAACCAATGAAGCTTTCTTTCCTCTGTGGGTGGGAAGAGCTGAAGAGCTCTAACTCTTTTTCTTTCTCAGACCTTTCTAGGCGCAGGCGCTCACCACACTTAAGACATCTGTGTCTTTGTGCTTTGTACTTGTCCACTCCGACACATTTCCTGGGAAGCAGAGAATTGTAGTCTAAGCTTCTTTCCTTGAGAAGCTTTTCTCCACAGGATTCTAATTTGTTCTTCCACCTGAACTAGAAAGTTCTTGATTCTGACCATTCTGCTGGTTCTGTTGCGCTTAAGAGTGTTCTCAAACTGCTACTCCGTACACTCTCACCCCCGGATTCCCTACCATCTGTGCCTCTGGTGCTGAGCACAAAACTGAGCCACAACACTTGCTCCTCAAACATTGACCAAATGCATGAGCTCCCAGATCTGTGTGTACCAGAGCGAGAAGTGGTCTCATTCAGGACGAGTAGAACCAGATACAGATTAGAAAAGATACATTTTTAGCTAGATAGCTGATGCCTCATGCTTATACTCTCAGCAGTTGAAGATGGGGAGGCAGGAGGATTGGGGTTCAAGGTCATCATTGCTTACATAGTCAGTTGGAGACTATACTGGGCTACATGAGACCTTGTCTCACCCTGGAGACCTTCCCCACAAGGGACATCTTCCCCCCATTCCTGATGCTACCTTCCATTTGGAGGGATCTATGCAAGTGTGACCTCCCCCCCAAACCTTCCCCCTAGTTATCTGCTTTCACTCAGAAGGTGATTTATTTGACTGGTGACTTTAGGAAGTGAGACGGGCATGCCTGGTCCCGCCCTTTCCTCTCTTCTCTGGCTGGTGTATTTAGCTCTGCTCCTCTGGTGGAACCAGTCCCCATCCAGTGCTGCCATTCTTGGATGGGTATGTCTGATTTTGACTTCCCTCTTAGGAAGCCCGATAGCCCATGTCTAGAAGCCATACTCTTCTGTCAGGGCTGTCAGAAATAAAGACAGTCCTGGGATTTCCGTAGAATTATTTTGTAACTGATCCTGAACCAGAAAGGAAACTTATGGCTATTGGATAAGTACTCAGCATTTTCCTGAACTTAGTCCATTTCCCACCTCTTTCCTCACCTGGCCAAGGTACCAATTTCCCTCACCTCCTGGGCCTGGGAATTGACAGAAGCAACCCTGGGCAGGAGATCCTGGCCTTTGGATTGGATAGGCACGGATCAAGTTCAGCATTTTCCCCACGGCATCATAAATGAAGATGAGGCTTATGAGAGCACAGAATCCTTCCTCTGTGAATCGGGTGAAGTAGCGCACCAGCAAGCTGGCCTCTGTAGCCACCAGCACCAGGCAAAACGTGGCCACCCAGATGCCCACCCATAGGCGGAAGGGCAGGTAGTCCAGGCTGTGATCTCTGTGGGAGTGAGGACAGTCAGGGATGACTGTTCCCCACTTAACCCAGGGCAGAGAAAGCCCTCACCCTCTCTTCACCCACCAACGGGCTAGAAAGGTGAGAGAGGTCTCCTACCTGCTAAAAGAAAAGAGCAGGCGCTCAAACACCAGCACTGGCCCCGTGCTGCTAAGGATGGTGAGGGGCTGCCCTGCCATCAGGCAGAAGGCAGCTCCAGCCACCGCTGTGCCCAGGAAACTCTCCAGCACTCCCTGGAAGTGGACATAGCTCTTCATAGGACTCTGGCATCCCAACACAGGAGCCCAAGGTCCTGTGGAGTCCCAGCCCCACTCAGTACCAAGAGGTCAGACAGGTGGGACACCGGAGTTTATGCCAAACCCATCATACAAACCCACGCACCTGGGCACCTTCAGTGGCATCTCCCAGCAGACCCCCAAAAGTGATGGCGTTTGTTACTGTGGCCAGGTAAATGTAGAGCACAGCTGAGAAACACTGGGGGTGTAGGGCGTCCAAGAAATCGCTGGGGTACCAGCATGCCTTCCGGCGCACGTCCTGGACAAGACCCCCAAACAGCCTCCCACCCGTGGGTCGTCAGTGATCCAGATTTCCACACCCCGCACCTGCATCCTGCTTTTCTCTGTATCCAGGAGAGCCCCTCCCACATTGCCTGCACATTTCGATGCCCCTGTTACTCTTCCGTAGGATCCCACCCCTTGTTCCCACACAGCTCCCCTCACCTGCCCGTCCTTTGTAACTCCGGGCTGGGTGCATGCTGGCCATGGTGGTGCCTGTCCCCTGCCTGGGCTGCACTCCCACGGGAGAGGCCGGTGACTTCCTGCAGTTCTGAGCGGAGTCTGGGCAGAAAGAGAACCCCAGCTGCTCTGACATCTCCCGCCAACGTGAGATTTGACTTCAGAGTACGTGACGCCCCGCCCCCTTGAGGCTACTAAGGGCGCCCTCAGATTGTCCGGGAGAAGATAGATGCAGGTCACAGTCTCACTGTCTGAAATCCAAACTTAGCTGGGGAGCGCGGTAGACCCATAGCCAAGGTAAAGATCTGTGTGGAATTAGGACCCCAGGTACCTTTTGTGCTGAGAGGGTAGGCATTTGGGCGGGGGAATCCGGGCTGTCCGGTCCCACCGACCTGGGGGTAGAGTTGTCACCTCCTGTAGAAAGGCATCCAGGGCTGCCAGAAGGTCATGAAGACTGTTTGCCCGACGAACTGACCACTGGAATTGCTGCATTTAAGGTCACAGGGTGGACAGTAAATGCATTATTTGGCCTCTTACATGTGTTTGCACTTGTATTTTCTCAAAACCACACTCACACAAGTTACAGGCAGAGAAATTAATAATTCACCCACAAGTGCATACATTTGTTCATTCATTCATTCTGTGCCTATTGTAATGCGGCTACATTGGTAGCTATGGAAAGGTCAGCCCCCATGTTAAAAAAACACAAAACCACACTCTGCCTCACTGGTATTTCTTTTGTTTTTGTTTTGTTTTTTTGGAGACAGGGTTTCTCTGTAGCTTTGGAGCCTGTCTAACTCTGTAGACCAGGCTGGCCTCAAACTCACAGAGATCCGCCTGCCTCTGCCTCCTGAGTGCTGGGATTCTACCACCGCCCGGTCTCACTGTCATTTCTGATCAGAGTCTATACATATGCTCCACACGCACAGATACACACACAGAGGAACACCTGCTCCACTCACCGGGTCACTGAGGAGGACAGCTGCTGCCCGACCCATCTCATGATAGCTCCTTCCCAGGGTAGGAGGACCCAAAAGGAGGCAGAAAAACCTGAAGAAGGAAAGGGGCCTCCAAGCTGCTTTCTCATGGGGCAGCACTGCCTAAGAACAGCCTCTGACACTTAGCTCTGACTTCCCTACCTGCTCTAGTGGACACCAGCCCTGCAGAATGACCCCTGGGTAGCATTTCCTAGACACTCTTGGGGAGCTGGATCCAAAGACCCCCACCCTCATTCTGTGCCCAAGAGCCCTGAGTCTCAGTCACCTCACCTGCTAGGCAGGATCACCTCTGTAAGAGGTTCCAGCACCACTGGAGTCCGCAGTCTCACGAAGGCCCCTAGTGGCTGAGCCAGGAAGCCCAGCTCTCCTGCCAGCACTGCCGCTGCCTCTGCTCCTGGAGGCAGCTTCTGTTTCAAGGGGTTCTGGAGCTGGACGGCAGAGTGTGAGAGATCATTTAGGGAGGGAAATGCTGGCAGAAACTCAACTAAGGAGCCCGGTGGAGCGTGGATCTCTTAATTCCTGATCTCCCTCCCAGCCTTGCCCAAGGAAGGGCCACAAACCTTCATGGGTGTGTCCTCATCAAAAGAAGCATTTCTGAAAGCATTGGGCCCTGCAAAGCAGGAATGCATGGTGGTTAGGAGCACAAGCCTTAGGGGCAGGCCTACTCGGGGATACCTGTAATACAAGCCTCCCTGGTAACTGTCATCAGAAGATAGTGCATTCAAAGCTCCCAGCACAGTAGCCGCCACGGATACCCCTTTGGAGAGCCCCGACTGGTATGGCCTCGGTACTCCTACTCTTCCGCCTTCACCATTACCTGGTTTCCTTTTGCCCATGAATCTTGTTGGCCTCAGGAATGAGCCAAGCTGAGGCCACTCCTGGCTCAAGAAACATAGATGATACCTGGGCTCCTCCTATCCCAGAGTCTTGATCTTAGGCCCAAAGAGGCATCCTCTCACCTCTGCAGGGCCTGATGCCTGCGGTCTGAATGTGATGCTGGGGTCTCTGCAGCAGCAAGGCTTGGAGCTGTCCTCTCAGTTCCGGGCTCAGTGACTCCCCACTGATCACCTGCTCTGCAGAAACAGGCGTGAAGTTCAAACCCCCCACCCGAGAGCTCTCTATCCCACCCCTGGTTCCCTTCTCTGCTTCTCATTCCTTGAGTCTTTCCTTCTAGAGTCTCAGGAAATGCAAGGGCTGCTGAACCACCCCCTCCCACATTGTCTTGAGACAAAGTTTCACTACATAAACTGGGCTGCCCAATTCTCAGTGGTCCTCCTGTCTTCTGCCTGCCAAGTGCCGAGACCTCCCCTGCTTTTCCATCACTATCTCTGTGATAGAAACAGCAGTCCCTAGGGTAGGATGGGGCGGGATAGGCTCTGGAAGATTCTAAGATCTGGGGGGAAATTCCCAGGGAATGGAATGTCTCCCAAGCTTACCCACAAGCTCCAGGAGGCTCTGAGCTTGGCAGTCCAGCAGTACAATACCCTCAGCCAAGAGACTTCGAAGGTTCTGGAGGCTGGGTAGTGCCAGGGTGGGCACATGGGGGGCACTCCACCGGCCCGCATCTACTTCTAGCTTTTCTTCAAACAGCATCCACCTGTGATAAAGGGATAGCCAGTGTTGCTGGTAGACTCCCTCCCATGTCTAGGACACAGGTGGGGCAGTGTGGCTGCCTTTGACCCAGTTGTGCAGACGGTCTCTCTCCCTGAGCAGTCAGTCACCCTCTCAGAACCATATTGTAGAGGAATCTCGTGGAAAGAATACGAGGAGAACATCCTACTTTGCGGTGGGAAGGATGCTGTAGAACTAGCCAGGTTCCACTCACCTGCCTGTCTCCCTCCACTCCAGCGCCTGGGGCCAGCCCAACAGCTCGTTTAGTTGAATGAAGAGCAGAGGATCCTCGGATACCCCCGATTCCCCATTGTCAGTGTCTGAGGGACCACCAAGGCTGGGACCAGGGCCAAGGCCACTGTCCAGTTCCTCAGCAAGAACATTTTCATGAGCACTGGAATGTTCAAATTCCTCTTGCCCTGGCAGCTTCATCTTGAGGAGGCTTGCACAAAACCTTGGACGCTGTGCTGTGCTGGGGCCCTCTGGCTGGCCGCATTTATACTGCACCCCTTACCACAGCACAGCACAAGCAAAGCCAATCCTGTTGGCTCCAGAAAATACCAGCCATCTCCTCCTCTGCTTGTTTTCTGACCCCTGCTGGCCTAAGTGTTTGTAAGACTGACCTAGCCATCCCCAGGCCTTTCAGAAACGCCCCACCTGTGTGTGTACATCAGGTCTGACCTCACTGTATTTTTTATAAATAAATAGGAGTAACTGATCCCCAGCCCAGGTTCTGCTGCCCCTGGCCATCCTGTATCAAATATTGACACTACAAATCCAGGACTGTTTAGATGTCAACAATATAGCGCAGGGGCCACAGACACACATTTGGCCAAAGAAGGAACTAATGAATAACTAGGTTTGTGGAATCTCGACAAGGCAAGTCAGACAGAAGATAGAGGGCTCTTAAGTGGGCTGACTTTGGAAAGTGGAGACAGGTCATGGAGAACACAATGCCTGTGTCTTAAATTCTTTTATCCAATGTCTGGAAACCCAATTTAGATATGTGCCCCTTTAACTCAGACCCTCGCTGAAGGAGGTAGAGGGGTGTGTGTGTGTGTGTGTGTGTATGAGTTTCTGGAACCAAAGTTACAAAAAACAATGTGGTCCTTAATCAAATTCTATTGATTCTACCTTCCAAATGTACCCAGAGTCCAACCACATTCCCCAGCTCCAGCACTGCCGCTATGATCCAAGCCACTACCATCTCACACCTGAATTATTTCGGTAGCCCACTAGCCTTTTGCAATAATCTCTTTGGCTTTGGCTCTTTCTCACTTCCCAAGGTCCATCTTCCGCTCAGCAGGATTTTCTTTCTTTCTTTGTTTGAGACAGAGTCTCACTGTTTATCCCTGGCTGGCCTGGAATTTGTTACAGAGACTGAGTTGGTCTTCTTGGACTCTCAGAGATCTGTCTGCCTCTGCCCCCTAACTGCTGGCCTTAAAGGCATGTGTCACCACCCCAAGCTAAGGATTCTTTTAAAAATAAGTTTAGGGCTAGAGAGATGACTCATTGGTTAAGAACATTTGCTGCTCTTCCAGAGGACCCAGGTTTGATTCCCAACACCCACAGGACAGCTCAGTAACTCCAGCTCCATGGAATATGACACACTCTCTTCTGGTCTTCTCAGGTAAAAGGCACACATGATAAACAGAAATATATGCAGGCAGAATACCCCCAACCCAAGACCCCACACTGCCCCTCCAGTCTTTCTAACCTGGACCTCGTGGCACAGGCCTGTAATCCCAGTTGCTTGGGAGGCTGGAGCACTACACAAGGACAAACACACACACACACACACACACACACACACACACACACATTAATGAGTTCAAGCTCATTAATCAACCCCTTCCGATTTACATATAAGTAAGGGCACTCCTTTCTCCAGCTGCAGGCCTACATAATGTACCTTTTTTAAAATTTTGGTTTTGGTTGTTTATGCAAGGTTTCTCTGCGTAACCCTGGTTGTTCTGGAACTCTCTCTGTAGACCAGGCTGGCCTCAAACTTACAGAAATCCGCCTGCCTCTGCCTCCTGAGTGCTGGAATTAAAGGCGTGCGCCACCACTGCTGGCTACATAATGTATCTTTAAAAAGGTCTTCTCCTCTAAGATGAAGTTCTGTGAATAAGAAAAAGGAAGAGATCAGCACACACTCTCCCTGAAGTCCTGAGTGCCTGAGGGGAAGGCTTCAGGCTGCCTAGGCGGCAGTATTAAGTTGCATCTCTTGCTGCTGCTGCTGGCAGCACCAACCCACCCTCCTGAACACATCTCCATCCCTCTTTTGACGCCTTCTTTCTACCCTCCTCCCCTCCAGCCTCCAGCCCCTTTTCTGGGTAATGAAAAGTCTGGTTCTGCCCAAGAGACTTTGCTGATCTTTACAAGGAATGTTTTGTCCCTGGGTCTTCACATGCCTGGATCCTTGCACGTAGGTCTCATCTCAAATATGACTTATTCAAGAACCTTCCTTCTGGAGTCATTCTATGATATTTCTGTTTTGTTTCTCTTACTTAGCAGTTATCACTACTAGTAACCTTGTTTATTGTTTGCGGTTTATTGCCTGCCTCTCCACACACACGAATACAGCTGCACAGTCCATGAAGCGGTATCTTACTTGACTTGGCCCTGAGCCTTGGGCAGCCTGGCACATAGTGTCTCTCAATAAATATTTGTTCGATGACCGCATAGAAAGGAAAGGGTTGGGTCAAGAATCGCGCTTCTTCTGGGAGCCACACGAGGGCGCTGCTCCCCATGGCCTGAATCGCAGGAGCCGCTCCCTAAGGCCAAGCGGTTATGTTTTTGTTTTTCTGTCAAGGCATGGAAACGGCAAGGTGGCAGGGAGGAGTATCTGAATGTCTGTCTAGTCCTGGCCCAACGCAGACTGGCCCCGAGGGATGGCATGTGGAGGAGGGTGGAGGTGCCTCTCAGGATGGGGAGGGGAAGGACAATCAGGTTCGTTTGACTGCGAATCAAAGCCCTCACGGGAAATGGGATTCAGTCTCCATCCTCCAACCTCCCCAATGCTTCAGGAGGTTGGTCCAAGGCAGAGGAAGGAGTCACGAAATCACTGAGGTGGTTTCAGTCCCCAGAGGAGCCGAAACCGGCCTAGGGGATGAAAGGGCAGGGGAACCCCTGTGACCATTCCTTCAAGAATGTGTCCCAACCTTAGGGGGCAAGTGACTCAAGAAAGCCTGAGGGGATAGAATCATGGGTTTGGCATGAATAACCCCAAACCCACGTAAACACTTGCCATCCTTAAATTCTGCCAAAGTTTAGGAAAGTCTGTCCTTCCTATCTCTGGCCCAACACCGAGAGTTCCCTATAAACGCTGGGACCACCACACTCCTCTCCACGCTTCATTTCAACCTCTGAACCTCAGTGCTCAGAGCTGGGCAGATTGGAGAAGGAGCTGCATAGGAAGCCAGGTCAGCCTCGGGTCTCCTAGACAGGGCCAGGAATGCTGTGTGTAGGAACAGCCCTGAATGTGCACCCCGGAGTTCAATGACCTGGTTCTCATCCCGATGACATCATAGACTTCATCAAGGGGACCTTGATGAAGGGCCTTGTCTATGAGTCTCAGCTTTATTTCATAGACACAAAGATGGTTGGTTGGGTAGATAATTCCCAAGATTCAAATCTTCCTGCAGTAATATATGAGAAACTGTCACAGGGATGAGTGTGCCCACCCACTCCCCAGATGAAGGTGACATTCTAGTAAGTGGTAAAGAGATCCTTGCTGAACAAAACAGAGCCTGATGTGGTGGCACAGACATTTATCCCAGCTCTCTGGAGGCAGAGGCAGGTGGATCTCTGCCTCTGAGATTTTGAGACCAGCCTGGTCTACACAGAGAGCTCCAGGACAGACAGGGGTACACAGTGAGACCTTATATCAAAAAACCACCAAATAGCTGGTCAGTGGTGGTGCACACTAAGGCAGAGGCAAGCAGATCTCTGAGTTTGAGGCCAGATGGTCTACAGAGTGAACTCCAGGACAGCCAGGGCTACACAGAGAAATCCTCTCTTGAAAACAAACAAGAGAAACCAACTAAACAAACAACAAACCATATAACAACAAACAACACACAAACCAAAACAGGAATTGTCTATACCTAGTAGTCGTGACAGCTAAACCCACTCTGTAAGAATCTGTACAAGAGATCTCATCAATAATTGTACTTAGAACAACACTTTAACAAAAAGGAGAGAGAGAGAGAGAATGTGTGTGTGTGGTTGGAGAACAACTATCAGAATTCTGATCTCTCCTGCCTGTGCATCTCAGGGACTGGCCTCAGCTCCTCAGGCTGAGTGGCGAGCATCCTTCCCCACCGAGCCGTCTCACTGACCCTCATGCATGTCTTTTTTGTCAGTAGTTTTTAACTCCTTCAAAATCTGGACGGGATGTAGATTAGTTTGTAGAATATTTTCCTAGCATGTGTGAAGCCTGGGGTTCAGTTCTTACCATTGAATAAACAGGATGCGGTGGATGCCTGTGATCCCAGCTCTTGGGAGAGGGAAGCAGGAATTAGTTTAGAGTTGTTCTCAGTGGCCAGCTTATGAAACATGTGACCCTGTCTCAAAAGAAAAAAAGAAAGAAAGAAAAGAAAAAGAAAAAAGAAAGTTACTTTTTTACCCTTCATTTTTATAACATCTGCTGTTCACACAACTCCATTACTATCCTGAAATGATGTTCAAAGGCAATACCCTACGTGCACACTTAGTCTTCAAATGAAATCAACACCGGGAGGCAGGCACAATGGAACAGCTTAAGTTCCAGATACTCAGAAGTAAAGGCAGAAGGAGTGCTTGAGCCCAGAAGTTCAAGGTCAGCCTGGACATCATAGCAGGATACACCCCCATCTCAAAACAAAATCATTCAATATGTAAATCCTCAGTCAAGACTATTCTAGAAATGACATTACAATATCTATACAGGCTTACCAGGAATATGACAGTTATAAATACTGACCAATGCAGGTATCACCAAAACAAGCATTCCCTTCTAACTTCCTTCTAGGAAAAGCTCGAGGAAAACCTCTATATTTCATATAAATTTGAAATGGGTTTAAGCTCAAGTAGTCAGGTTTTCAGCCAGGAGGAACCCAGCAAGGCAGCTCAAAAGAAGCATGAAATGTACAGTGATTTATTTGTTTTCCATTTTATGTATTTTAAGATTTATTTTTATATTATTAGTGCCCCCCACTCGTGTGTTGTCTGCTATGTGCATGCAGTGCCCTTGAAAGCCAGAAGATGGCGTTAGATCCCCTGGTACTGGAATTATACAGTTAGGCAGCTACGTGAGATCTGGGAATTGAAACCAGGTCCTCTGGAAGAGCAGCCATCTCTCCAGCCCCTTCTTTTTAGTGTTTCGTTTTATTTCTCTGTTTGTTTTTATGGTTTTTGGTAATTTTTAAACGAATTCTTTGAAAATTTCA